TACATGCTGAATGTGTGTCTCGTCGTGTGCCATCACTATAAGGGATCAGAGTATACTAAACTTTACACATTACATAGGCTACACTAACGTGATGTTTAGGCGGTTCGTTTTGTGTACGTTTTTTTAGGGGGTTGTTAATGAAAGTGTTCCAAAACGCGACATTGATTTCTTGACGACCTAATACATTCTGCTATTCTGAACTGAGACAAGTTACACACTCTCGGTTTTTAACTTATAGCAAATCTCAACAAACATGATGATTTACAATTATAGCCCAAAGCTTGTTTAGTTATAGTCATAAAAATACACTTCATATGTGCCAAAAGTGAAAAACAAATTCATTATTTCAACTTAGAAATTACGCTCGTTTATCAAGTCGTCTGTAAGTCGGAGAAAGAAAAGATACCGTGTTTCTACAACTGACATTTATATAGTTGGAACTATAGCTGGGTCAGTATGGCGTTTGTCTTTTAAAATAATCGGTTATTGTGTGAATAATAAGGTAAAAAGTAGTGAAGAATAAGATAAAAACTAGAGTAGTATACTGTGTGAATAACAAAGTAAAATGTGAGTAATAGACTGTGTGGAACTTAATAAGTAACTCCAAACTAAACTAACTTTAGACTAAGATCACAACTGGTTATTTTGCTTAAGGTTTTTGACTCTCAATTAGATCATGATGTTGTTGGTCAAGAAAAGAGACTGCGGGTATTACTATCAAAAAGCTCTATTGCTCTCAGTTTGTCGTTAACTTCTTATAAGCTAACTTTCATTACGTTGCCTTTCATCTTGTTTGATTATAATTGTTTCTCACGTTAACAGAGAAAGAATATATTTTCTCAGTTGTAACAAGAACTTTGGAATAAAATGTTTGTCTTTTATTCAATTTCTTTCGGGTTAATCCTGATATATCATTCGCTATCTTGATTTCAGCGTGTCCTTAAGATGATGATAATGGAGGCTTCAGGTATTTATGTTTTATAGCCGGCAGTTACCCAATTGTTTCATATCTAGTCCCGCTTGATTTTTCAGGAGGATAATTACGATTCACCGAAAATTATTTTAGGTATATAAAACGAAAATTTCTATACCTCTCATCTGTCAAAAATCAGAAAAAAAAGGTCATTTGTATAATTCAATCTTTTGGTCCCCCTACCAAAATACGAAATAGAAAAAATGATTAGCACGTGATGTAAGTAACGATGAAACCGATAATAAGTTATGAATAATATATACATTTTATTACCGGACCTTATTACAGTTAAAGTATGTGGCTGCGCTTATTAGATTCTTTCGTATATAGATTTTTATCAGTTGATAATCAGTTTTATTCATAGTCACTCTACCTCGTAAACTAAGAATTGTGCTATTGTTTGCTGTGGAATCTTAGCGACAAAATTTTCCATTGTTAGATCCACCAGAAAATTTAGGTCTGTTGAAATCATTGTAAGCTAATTTGTTTCTTTTTAATAGATGAAAAGAAAATCATAACGTGTTTAAAGTTTATACATCTCCACATTCCTCACAATTTATCTCAAAGTTTAGTTTTCTATTATTTTTTTTGTTTATGTCTCGATTCTTGTGTTCTCAAGTCATAACAATAGTTATATAATGTAATTTTGAGCATTAAACATATGCTTGAAGTTTTTCAATTCCGAATTTATTATTCTGCATTTAAAACTATGTCGAATAAGTTACTTCATATTATTTTGGATATTAGTAATTTCTAGTCTAAGGAAGGTATTAGGCTCTTTAAGATGATATTAGATATTCTTAATTTCTATTATAAAGAAGGTATTAAGCTGCTTAAGATGATGTTAGATATTATTAATTTCTATTATAAAGAAGGTATTAGGCTTCTTACGATGATATTAGATATTATTAATTTATATTCTAAGGAAGATATTAAGCTGATTAAGATAACTTTGTCACTAAACGTACTACTACCATTTAAATGATTTAATTATGCTATTATCAATATCTTCCTGCTTTTCACGAACAACTTTTCAGCGCCTTAATTGTTAAAGTCTACCAAACTTACATTTCAGTGCTATTAGGTTACTGATAACTTGGTTTTAACTCAAAAATTCGTAACACTTAATTATTGTATATACATATAAACATTACTTTGCAAAATCTAAATGGTAAATATTCCTTTACTTATGAAGTCAATAGTAGAGTTGTGTCAATGGTCAAGTTGTGAAGGGCTGTAGAAAAACGTGTAAGAGATTAGCCCAAATATCGAGCTGGGTACTCTTTCTTTAGATTTGACACTTACGATTGTACCGTATTGCAAAAAAATAAAAAACAGTACTTAGCCAGATATTTAGGCTACGTGTTAGATTTAACTATCGTTCTATATATATAGAAAGTACTCACCGGTATTTGGTACTTGTACTTGCAAGCTGAACAGCGCTCTGTTTAACACATGAGCTAAAAGTCAGATCAGATACCCTTTAACTAAGGTTCAGGCATAACCATCCCTAACTTATAATTGATGATTAAAAGTAGGGCGATTAGTCAGCAGGGCCCTCCGATTATGTGGTTACTCTTAATCGAATAGCAAGATAGCTGTCACAGTATATCGCCCTCACAGCTAAAAGGACGGGGGATATTTAGCGGAATATCGCGACTTGAACCTTCCAATCCGCAGTCCGACGTACTATCTATTAGACGACACTCGGCTCAGAAGGTACACAACTTAAATTCCTAAACCAAATTGAATGTTTTTTATTATTATTATATATATTTTCTCAGACATTTCTTTCTGTCAAAAACTTGAAACTTTATTACTTGGCTATCTCATTTTTTAAAAGTAAAATGCAAGTAGTTCAAAATCAGGACAAGGAGATGTCTTTATATCACTGATTTAAGGAACAGTTTTAATTCAAAACAGTATAAGTATTTCGCGTCTGTTAATGGTATTATAATTAGAAAGGCTTTTTGGCGTGAGGAATTAGTAAACATTTTATTGTAAAATTGTGTCAATATTTGTAATAGTCCGAATGTAGAAAACATGACTTTTTTTTTAAATTTCAGGACCATATAATGTGTTTGATTATTATTTGTTAAATAATAAGTGAGTTAACATGCTAGCTTAAACCTTACTTTCTTTAGGTCTAGAAAGTCATCCTCAACATAAAGTAGCCAAGAAGCAATGTACAGGATTTAGTGGAATGATCAGTTTTTATATTCGAGGAGGAGAGGAAGGAGCCAAGCACTTCATTAACAACCTCAGAATATTTACTTTAACCGGGAGCTTGGGCTGCGCAGAAAGTCTCGTAGAAATACCGTAAGTAAAACTTTTTATTGAAGATAGAAGTTTAGGTTGAAACATCAATGATATAATTTATAAATTAAATGAAAACTATATTTCGAAAGTACCAAATAATCCATCTACACGATTATGCTAATGTGACTGTGATAATCAGAGGATAAACCGAGCACACAGTTCTCTGATTCTTGCAATAGCTAGAGATTTGGGATCATATACGCAGAAGGACAGAATCTGTATTAGTTATTTGTTATCAGTGAAATTAAAAAAAAACAAAGCTCGGTGTGAAGATTTAACTGTCGGAAACAAAGAAAGAATGGTCGATCGTATAGACTATTGGGTTGAAGGTTGTGAAGTTAAAAACGAAATAAATACACAAGTTGTATCTAAATAAAATGGAAATGAACTGATGACTGTTGTTGACGACCAGTGGATGGATACACACTCATCAGGCTGAAGCAAACAAAGAAAAGACTTCCATTTGACTCTCTCAAGACAGAAACGAATCTGTCTAAAAACGTTCAAACTACGCTTACAATTCACCTGCTATCTGTAATTGACCAATCATAACACTAGATCACAAGTATTCGGCACTACCACTGGTCCATACGACAGTCGTAGACTAGCCCCCATATACACAAGGTAAAGTATAAGATACAATACAGCTGTTCTACTGAACAGTTGATATATATAGTTCCCGTGATCAGAAAGGTTGAATTTAGCACATGGTCGTGATTATGTTCCAAATTACACGAGGGCTATCTGCGCTAGCCGTCCCTAATTTAGCAGTGTAAAACTAGAGGGAAAGCGGCTAGTCATCAACAACCACCGCTAACTCTTGGGCTACTCTTTTACCAACGAATAGTGGGATTGATCGTAACATTATAATGCCCCCACGGCTGAACGGGCGAGCATGTTTGGTGGGATGGGGATTCGAACTTGCGACCCGACCGCCTTAATCACCTGGCCGTTCCTAACTATAACTCAGAATTTTTTATTTTGTGAATATCATATATACCCAATACGTTAGTAACTTACTGTTAACTACATAGCTACACATTAAGTTGTCTGTGCTTTGCCCACTGCGGGTGCCGAAAACCGAATTTTAAGTGTTATAAGCCTGTCAGACTTACCGCTGAGCCACCGAGGGGCAGAGAGAGGTATTTACATATCACATTATTTATTTTTTCACTCCGTTCCTTAATATAACCAGTTTTCAAAATATTAACATAAACTCAGTCAACACAACACACACTTTGTAAATCTTTTAATCATTATTGGTTTATGTTTTACGAGTCTGTTTAGTTTCTTACTTTTACGTTAAATGGGCCTTATTTAAAATTTGACACTAAATCCGTATTGCATTAGCTAATTAGACTACATTTAACCATCTAGGGTTGCGGTTGATTAGTAACCAGAAATACGGCTATATCATAACGTAAAAGACACATGCAGATGAACATCTGGATGTGAAACGCATTAGCTCCTTTTAAACCTGGTATCGCTCTAATTATCAATTAGATCGAGCAGTCTGTAACCTGTTTATTGTAGCTGTTCATAGTTTATTTTTAATTAAGCACAAAGCTACACAATGGGCTATCTGTGCTCTACTCACAACGGGTATCGAAACCTGGTTTCTATCGTTGTAAGTCCGCAGACATATCGCTGTGTAACTAAGGCCAGTTTTTAGTAATTCCACGCTTTTTTATAAACTTTGCACCTTATGTTAGCATATACGTTAATACTAAATCAGTCAAAACAGGTAGTAACGCCTAATGCTCAGTTTAGTTGATGAGAATTACGCTTGCTAGATCAACTTATATTCGAACTGTGACCATTATTTATAAGACTTTACACGATTTCTTGCAACTATTTTTTTGTTGCAACCACATTTTTGAGCTTTGCAAGGGTTGTTTCGTTGTAACCATTTCTTTGACTTTAAGAATTTTGTTGCAACCACTTCTTTGAGTCTTACAAGATTTATTTTGTCGTAACTACTTTGAGTTTTATCAACAAAAGTTTTATAAAACTCAAAGAAGTAATTACAACAAAAGTTTTGTAAAACTCAAAGAAGTAATTACAACAAAAGTTTTCAACATTTCTTTGATTTCTGCACCACGATAAAACAATAATTTGATCAGTTTTGTTGCTTTAATAGGGCTAAGGTTAGTCACAATGCTGTAGAAGAGGAATACCGACTGAAAATTGGAATAACAGATAATTTGATACGTATGTCTGTCGGACTGGAAGATACAGAGGATTTACTGAATGATGTGAAACAAGCACTTGATAACACCGAAACAATGATGCTTCACTCTGAACGATCGTCAACCTGAGTATGACGGATGGTCACGGAAGTGGTAATCAGTTGATAGAGAAACTGGCTTTGTAATTTGAAAACGCAAAAGTTTTAAGTACGTATAAACAACCATACTAACACTTTAGACAAAATGAAGTTCATAAGGTTCTGTAAACCACTATTTATGTAAACTCAACGGAAAACGACTATGTTTTGTTTTTTGTTAAAAGGTAATAATTAATTACTGTTATAGCACACTATTTTAATTTCGTATATGAAAAAGTGCTTCAAAATATTCGGTCTGAGCCATCAGTATAATCAGGAAAAATGTGTGAAGAATTCTAATAAATAACATTATGGATTTGTTTAATTAAGTGCTATAAAATAATAATAAATTCTTCTTTACATGTATTTGTATGTGTATGTACATCCAGTGCAACCAAAGTATTAGTACATTGTTACACAACTGTTATAGAATCAAAACTATCTCAAGTACATCTTTATCACAAACTTAGTCTACATTGATGCACAGCTGCTGTAGAATTTAAGACTGTCTCTAATATGTCTCTATTACAAACTTATTCTAAATTAGTACACAGGTGTTGTAGAATTTAAGACTGTCTCAAATATGTCTCTATTACAAACTTAGTCTAAATTAGAACACAGCTGCTGTAGAATTTAAGACTGTCTCAAGTACGTCTCTATTACAAACTTATTCTAAATTAGTACACAGGTGTTGTAGAATTTAAGACTGTCTCAAGTACGTCTTTATTACAAACTTATTCTAAATTAGTACACAGGTGTAGAATTTAAGACTTTCTCAAATAAGTCTCTATTACAAACTTATTCTAAATTAGTACACAGCTGTCGTAGAATTTAAGACTGTCTCAAATATGTCTCTATTACAAACTTATTCTAAATTAGTACACAGCTGTTGTAGAATTTAAGACTGTTTCAAGTATGTCTCTATTACAAACTTAGTCTAAATTAGTACACAGCTGTTGTAGAATTTAAGACTGTATGAGTACGTCTTTATTACAGACCTAGTCTATGTTAGTACACACATGCTGTAGAATAGCCAGTTTTAATTAAATACACGTATACTAGTCCAGCAGACAGTAGATATTGCTTTTAGTCCTGTGTGCGTCTTAACAGTACATTTTAAATAAACTTCGAAATTTGATCAAATTGAGTCCAATGGTTAATTGTCTCGTCAAAAACAAACAATCAACTTTTGTTACATGCAAATCAAACGTCAGTGTTATATTTAAAGTCAACCACTTTCGTTGCAATGGTAATAAATGTTTGAGGGAGAAAAACTTTTGGTGTATATTCTAGGCTGGTTATTGTAAAAGTTAAAAACATTGTCGGGCGGGAGGGTTGCACTATGTGAATGCCTTTATAGTCACAAACGTAATTTAGAATATTACACAACTTATATAAAACGCTCAGTCATCCTAAAGTACATCTTTCAGCGTGTTAGTCTTGGAAAGTAAATTAAAAACAACATTTGTTTAGTTTGAATAACACCTATCATTACAAATGTGACTTTTCTATTCACCAACTGACTTGAGAGGAGTAAATTATTAATTACGAATAACATCAAGAGAGTAATTTATTCTTTGTATAAGAAATATAAATCAGATCTTGCTCGAAGTTTCATCAAATAATTGTGGGTGAACTTACATTCAATGTGTTCGCTACTCGGTGAAAATACATACACAAAGTTTTGTTTTATACATTCGCTCATTTTCTTCAACTAATTCAAATAGCGCTGCAGATGTCAAATGTGTAGTAGTTTCATAAACTCTTACACCTGAATGTAGAGTAGGAAAAAATACTTGCAACCTGGATATTTCGTAAATTAATCAAAGTTTATTTTTGTGTTCTTCAAATTTTTTATTTAATAAAACTTTCAAACATTACTTGTAAGGATATTCAGCAGCAATAGCATTGTTGTATCTTATCCATTCTTAAGAACTAAATTACAATAAATAGCTTTGTCCTGTTACAGGTTAAAAATATTATCCAGATATTGTATCACACCTCTATTTACTACAAATGGTTTGTATGCATTCACATTTTCTTCCAATTATATTGAGTTTCTTTTTCAATGCACCAAATATTTTCTATATGCTTATGAAAAGTAACTGTTGAATGTAAACTATAAATTATTCGCTAAACATTTTAACGTCTATAAAATATGAGCAGTTAAAAAATAGACTGCCAGGAATCTGCTGAACTTACAATTTTCTTAAGAGACAATTGGCATGTGACAACTGAATTCAAATCAGATACTACCTTTCTCAACCATAAAACTATGCATCTTTTTCTGTGAGACCTCAAAAGTTTAAGATGCTGATTTTTAACTTATCATTCTACATCTTATAAATAAGTTTAAAGTTGTAACACTGGTATATTAAACCTAAGATAGAGGTAAGGGCACTTTCAAATGAATGAGGTACACAGTACCCCTCCTGAGATATCATAAAAATGTCTCAAAATATGCCCTAGCTATTTAGTATCTCTCCAGTGCTATAAAAGTAATCTTTAGGAAGCACTAATAATTCTTTCTTATAATGCTGAATCACTAATATGTTCATCCATGATTTAAATCAAATAACTTGCAATCAGTTAATCAACAAGTTTTACAATAAATTTCATTTAACATCACTATTTGTTTCAGTGAAAAACACAGAAACAGTGCTGGAAGAACTGATTTCTCTTTAGTAAAATACAAAGTATCAATCAAAAAATCCACTGGTAATGTGGGGAGACACAAGAATCAATGGTTTAAATTTGAGCAGTTTCTTTAAAGATAATTTTTCTTTAAAATCCCATTATCATCAAACTTTTATGATCTTCTGTTGTTACGACGACATATAAAAGAAAAACATATTTCGGCTACTGATTCCAAATTAGTTCCTAATTTCAGTTACTCCTACATTGAATTAAACATGAAATCCCATTTGGTAAACTTGAATAGAAACAATGGTCTGGCACAGACTTCCAAATAAACCTCATCTTTTATCAGCACAAGCTCACTATTTTTACTTTCTTAATTAAAAGTTAAATGCTTGAGAGAAGATGAACAAGTCAAAATAACTAAAAAAGTGCAGAAGGAGGATAAGTATATATAGATTTCCAAAAGAAGAAAATGTGAGTCATAGAAACAAAAAAATAAAAACTTTCTAGATTTACCACATTTTCATATGAAATAGTTTTTTAAAGCTCTCTAAAACAACAGTTTTGGTTTAGTCACAGACTCAATGTATCCTTTAAAATACTATCTTTAAATATTTTCATGCTATTAGCATTGGGTAACATCCATTTGTAAACAGCTATTTAATCTCAATGTTCATATAATGTAAATATATTTCTACACTGTCCTGCTCAAATCTTTCGTTATAAGATGCTCTAAGTGAATAAAAATTTGAGACCACAAAGTTAAAATACAACAACACTAGTTTCTTTTCAGGTTAACAAAATTTTAACCAGTTATTAAACTACTTTCAGATATTCCACAAGTGTAACTTTAGCTGCATCTCCAAAAGAATGAGCAAAATACAAACACCTACTTAACACAAGATACACAGTCAGTCAACTACCTCCAAATCTACAACACATCAACCTTTTACTTACCATATATATATATATGAAAATGTAAAGAATAATAAGTAAATAAGATTAGGTTATGAATTCATTGATTATTTACTCTTTTTTTTTGTTGTTATATCAACTCTTTTGCAAAATTTTAAAAATTAGCAGATGATGGAGCATAAAAATGTCAACTTTTTGCATATTTTAACTTGTAATATTTGTATAGATACTTGCATTTAACTGCAATGTTCACATCAACAAATATTTTGAGCATATTTTTTCTTTTTCATTTGTCATCAATGACTGATAAAAATAATTCCTTTTTTGCTACAATATAAAGTTTTTCCTACAAAAACAGTTTTTCTAAAACTATATGACAACATCAACACTCCTAAATCAACGACTGGTCGATTTAAAAATTCTGTAATCAACACAGTTTCACTAAATATGGAGTTGCCATTAGTTAAGAACTTGAACCCTTTTCACTGGTCATACTGCAGATACTGTTGGCTAAAGGTCTCAAGCTCACTCATCAGGTAACCAGCCTTATTCCTACAGAAAGAACAAAAAGAAAAAATACATCAACTAGCAAAAATAAAGGTTAATTTACACAGTGAACATAATGTATGTATTATTTTTTTTAAATAGCTTGGAAGTGTTTCACAACAACTATTTCAATTGCGAAAAGTTTAGAAAATACAAGACTAAGGGATGCCCAGTAAAACAATTTCTATACTTGAAACTTCATGATTTATTACTGTCCACAGTAATATTTTTATGTTTAAACTACACAAATCTTCCTTGAAGACTGGCTAGCATGTTAGTTGTTAATATGTTAAATCACATATCTTTTAGATGCCAAACTTTGAAAATCATATAAAAACTGACTGTTAATGGTTAATAGATAATTTCAAAATTCATCCAACAGAATAATATCTGTGTGGTAGTATTTAGATTGTAATTAACAATTCAATAAGCTGATATACATAAAGGTTGACATAACAAATAATAACTATATAAATGGTAATTCACAAGTACAACAAATACAATGGTTCTATGCCACTGCTATATGACAAATATCATCAGTAGTTTATATATCTTGAACTGAGCATTCTGTTTATTTTACAAAATATTTTACTGGAAAATGTATTACTTACGTTTCTCACAAGGACAGATACTGTCTAGTGTATCTAATTAAACATTTCTTTAGAAGTTTTTAACAAAGAACTGACAGAGTAGAAACAAATATTAGATGAAAATGAAAACAAGTCAATATGGTGAAAATAATTTTACAATGTAACATCAGTTTCTAAAACAAGTTAAGGTAAAAATAAATGTCCATTCCACTTAGTAAAATGAAGAAAAAAAAACATACCTGAAACACCAAAATGTATGTTTTCGTTATGATTAACTAAATTTAATGAAAAATTTATTAACATGTTCATTTAAGATGTGAAAGTTTATCAAAATGGATGAAGAAAACTGATTTTACCAAACTCAAGCAGTTCATTAAAAAAATTTACCTCAGAATCCTTGACATGGCTAAACATTCATCCAGGTTTTCTACTTCTGTGTCAAGTCTTCTGATTACTCCCTGCATCTCGCTAACCACCTCATCAATAAGCTGACAAAGTCGAGCAAAGGTACTGCTTAGTTCCCTGTAACCAAAAATTTCTTTTTGTAAGCTATTCATTAAACTTGAAAGCATGCAGTTTTCTGTTAGTTATTGTGAGCACAGATTACTGTAGGTTGAGAAGTCACTAAAATTTCCTCCCATATCCCATACTTAGCTTTTTTTATGACTGGTGATGATTTTAAACATTTCTAGTGTTCTTATGTTATATTACCATTGTCTCTCACATGACCTTAGGCTTATATTGATAGTACAACCAAGTCATTGTTGTCATGTTAGATGAACAGGGAAATGTAAAAAATGCAGTAATAATCACACAATATTAGGAAGAGTACCTTCCAAAATTTTTGTTGTATCAAAATAATTCAAAAGTATCAATACAGTCAAAAAGTAAAAACCATTCATAAAATAAATTATAAATATTATCTACTGACACAATTTTTCATTGAAATTAAGTGCTTGGATTCTATTATTAATAATGTATATATTTTTCTCCATTACAAAATCTATGTATAGCCTTCAATACAGGTCTTACAAGATCCTGTTTTACTGGTTGCTTATCTAAACAATAAAATGTTTATCATTTATAATAATTTTGCAAAATTTACAAAACACAAGTAACAGCTAAGAAGCAATACAAAATCGTAGTTCAAAGTCAGTCAGAAGCATCAAATACAAAACAAGTGAATGTACTGTTCTGATTGTAAGTTTATATTCTCTCTCGTTTTTATTTTTTTGACACAAGTATTTTGTTTCTGGAGAAACAGAGCCATAGAGAAACAAAGCACTTTTGTTAAAAAAGAGTGAAATAAAATATAAAATTTCCATTTAGAGACAGAGTCCTAGCTGTATGAATACATTTCCAGGTCTATAATAAATAAACAATACATTTTCTACCTGTTAAGCCTAAGATGAACAATAAGTTTATTTAAAAAAGATTCTAACTTCAGAAAGAAAAAGAGAGATAAACATTCCTTCTGTTATTTTCTTACAAACAATATGATTTTCTTCATATTTAACCACTAAGTAGTGAAATAGAAGTAAACATATTCTACACCTTTGTTGTTAATATATTGTTTCTTACTTATCACTATATCTTTTGAAACAAAGTTGCTGGTTTCTTTTCTTTTTCAGAAATAACTATCTTAAATGCTGTTGTGAAAGTTTTTAGGCATTAGTACTTTCTGAAATTTTGCTGCTGCTTTTAGTATTTCTAGGCAAGGAAAAGGACACAATGTTTTATATTAAACATCAAAAAAATTAAAATAGTGAACAATTTTGAATTTATTTGTCTTGAATTTTGCGCAAAGCTACACGAGGGCTATCTGCACTAGCCGTTCCTAATTTAGCGGTGTAAGACTAGAAGGAAGACGGCTAGTCATCACCACCCACTGCCAACTCTTGGGCTACCAAAGAATAGTGGGATTAAACATCACGTTATAACACCCCCCACAGCTGAACGGGCAAGCATGTTTGGTGGGACAGGGAATCAAACCCACGACCCTCAGATTGTGAGTCAAGTGCCCTAACCACCTGGCCATGCCGGGCCACAATTTTAAAATTCATATTCTACAATTATATATACAATTACACAGATGCAAATTCTAAAGATGTAAATTTATAAACATTTTTTTTTATAAATGAAAGATGGTGCTCTTACTGTTGAACTTGGTGACTGCAGTTGGCACTAGTCAAGTCAACTATTAGTTTCAGCTTGCGGGTAGTGTGGTTGACATATTGTTTCTTGAAAGCACGTTCTTTAGCCTTGTTTGTCCATGTTAGCCACTCATATGCATATAACAGGCCATAAATACCTGCTGTCAGTATTATTACCTTCCAGCCAACTGTTCGAACTAGCTACAAAAAAAAAAAATTAAATAGAACAATAAGCTCATCCTTCATTGCCACATTTTGCCCAAACTTTCTTCTCCACTACAGCTTTTGTATAGAAAAGTTCAGTTTAAAAAAATGTTCACTTTGTAAAAATATGCTTACATTTTGATATCTAAACAAAAACATAGAAATCCAAAATGTGTTTTATAGTTTTCAGCAACAATTATGATCATATACTAATTTATTATACAAAAAAAAAAATCGTATACTCCGAGATGATCGTAAGTTTTTTCATATTTCTTACATGCTACTCGGTATATAATGACATTTTATGGGACATCAATTTTTGTTATTTCAAAATGAACTTGATACCAGGAGTGTTGTTACCTAATGAAAATATTTGGGGCTTCGGCCCCAAGAAGCACCTACTACACAAAATAATTAAAGCATAATTGCATTGTAATACACATGTGGCACTGTGAAATACATCTGGAACACAGGCCTTGTGGGCTGATGCTCAGTAATACCTCTACCCAATACAAAAATCATATATACCACCTATATGGAGATTAATTTGTGTGTATAATTACATAATTTATTGAACATATAGAAAACTATCATATACAACATGGTTTATGTATGCTTCATTTTATTATATTTTTTTTACTTGAAACTTTTCAAATATACTAATAATATTTCTCCTTCACAATCATACAGTTCAGTCATGAGCCAAACAGAAATTCATGATAAATATTAGTACATATATAATACAAAACTTTGTAGAGTAAGTATAAGAATCCAAAATTTCGTTTTTTGACAGCTTTGCTTAATCAAGGTTCTGTGATTTGTTCTGAAATTCCATGACTAGTGCTAAAAGTAAAATGGAGAGTCTGATGCATTTGTTTTTACCTTCTCCCTTTGTTATTGCTGCGTTTTTCTAGGATTTCGAAAAATAATTATATGTTCATGCTTATGGTAAAATCTCCAGTATTATGGTACACAAAATTATATAGTATATAATTAAAATACTGTAAATTAAACATTCATGAAATTTTCTTGATTATCCCAGTTACAAGTGCAAAAAGCTTGACATAATGGAATGTTGCAAACTAAAATCTGTTGTGAATATTTTTAGACTGCTAAAACTAAAGTATTAATGAGTTGATTTCACGGATCTCCTAAAGATTCATTTTGTTGGTTACAGTAACATACTTCAGCTGTACATTAAAGTGAATTAAAAATTCAAAACCTCTTTTACAGTTTCCAGCAACAATGATTAATCATAAGGTGAGGCTTTAGAACAACAAAAATATCCCACTGTGATTTAAATAGTTTATTGTGGTGATTTTTACTTTGACTTTTGTTATAATTAATGCCTTGAGCTGAGTAATTTATTACTACCATGTGTATGTTGTAATGAGTTAACTTATATGCCAACATCCATAGAATCTCAACCACATGTACGTGGTTAAAGGAGTAAAACCTTTAAAAATATAATCTGGTTAACAAGTCTTAACTTCAAGAAAACAAAGTACAAATACTTACAAATCCTCCAACAGCAAGAGTACCCACAGCTGTCTGCGACGTTGGCGATACAAGTGCTATTTGTTGGACTATAGATAAATAGTCTGATGAGGGCTGGAAAAACTGTTTTACTTCAGCATTAGGTGACTGGTGAGCAATGCCAATTGGGCGAGGTATCTAACAAATAAACAACAACAATTTAATATAACTGTTCATGGAACAGTTTTGTTGAATGAAATAACGACAGAATAACATTTTGAACGAAACAGGTATACCAACAAATGCTTACAGCCAATGATGGAATGGCTTTATGAATGAAACAGACTTAATAATGTTATATTAAAATGTACATACTTAATCACTTCCAGCAAAATAAAACAGTCCAATACTTACATACCATGCAATATTTAATACTTTATATCATTAAAGTTATACAATTAAATGGCTAAACATGTTGAGGCACAAACATAAGAGCCAAGTATTTAGAATAATTAAAATACATACACACACACACACACACACACATATATATATATATATATATATATGTATACATAAAGAATAACACATCAATAGCTGAGAGTATTGTCATATACTTCAATATGATATAAATATTTAAGTACTTGACACTTATAAGCTCCTAAAACGTCTACAGCAGCAAGGCTATTAATACTAACAGTCTCTTTTGCTCGTTTGGTGTTCCTTGGGCCAAGAAAACGTTTCATTAATGACACAAGTCCCAGAGAGAATTGAAACTCCAAGTCTTCTTGGAAGTCAGAGCATAGACTGTCACAGTTTATCCGATACAGAACTTCAAAGTTGTGACGAGGCATTATATTGGTCATCTGTTGCCTGTGTTCCTGGGGTAACAAAGAAGACATCCTTGCTGGGGGAATAATAAAAGAATAAAATAATAAAAGTATTCAATTGCATAAGAAAAAAAAATTCTAACCTGATAAAAGCAACTATAATCCAATCAATTTAATGCTTAAAATAAACAAAACCATACAAAAGTTGAGATATAAAACTCCTATAAAGAGATTTATGTTTTACCTTTTCAAACTACTACAATAAATTATAACCATGTAGCTATAGATAAACACTAAGTCACAGAAAAAATACCTTAAATATCTATTTCTAATGGCATTATAACAATTTACCATTTGATTTCTTAAAAGCAATACAAACAATACTTTACTAGTAAAATATAAATGAAATAATCCAAGACAGTAACAAACTACATGTGTTATCAAATTAGTTTAAGTTTTTTTTTACCAGTTAGACTATTCAAGAGTATTTCAGCTAAGGTAGACCATTCCATACAGATAGTATATTAGCATACATTGTAGTAAACTGTGATGGTTCTCAAACAATCTAAGACACTAAATAGCAATTTAGAAGTTAACAAAGATAATACCAAACTGTGACTGTTAATACCAAACACTGAAAGTTCTCAGGAAAGCTAATGAGATACTAGACATTATTTTGAATTATAACAAAGATAATACCAAATATTGATAGTTCTTAAACAACTTAATGAAACACAAGACAGTATTTTAGAAACTAACCAAAATAATACCAAACTTTAATGGTTCTCAGGAATTCAATGATATACTAGAAAGTACTTTAGAATTTAACAAAAATAATATAAAACTTTGAGGGTCCTCAAACTGTCTAAAGAAACATTTGAAGAGACACTAAACAGTACTTTAAAACTTAACTAAAGTAATACCACACTTTGATGGTTCTCAAACGGTCTAATGAGATAATAGATAGTACTTTAGGATTTAAAAAACATATCATCAAACTTTGATTGTCTTTAAACAGTCTCATGAGAAGAAAAACTCACCAATCATTTCTTTCTGTGAACTTTCAACATTCATGGCTACTGTGTTCGAAAGACGACTTCGAAGGTTACTTCCCAGTCCTTCTTCCACATGAGTGTGTAGTTCCTGAAGAATTAAAATTTTAAATTAACAAAATACTAGTAAATATAACTATTACAAACAATATTTAGCCTATGAAAAACTATAACAAGTTTAGTCATAATACAAATGTCATGGTTAATGAACATCTTTTATTTACTACAAAACTGAAAATAACAACTTCTCTTAATTTTCTCTATTCACCACTAATCACTAATGCGAGATTACTCATGATCTGTAAAACTACTCCAAATATTGTGCTAATTTCAATGATAACAAAAAAAGAGTATAACACTTACAGAAACAAATACTTCAATAAGATTTTAAAAACCTAAAACCCTCAATAAAGTATTAATTTCTTTTCTGATTAATACATCATTTCAAACATCTAGTCAAATCTTCACACACAATCTTTTGAAATATCTCAATATCTATCAGGTTTCAAATTTAAATACAGAAATTGTTGGTCTTAAAAACTTTAATTGACCAAGTATGACAACTGAACAGTAATAACCTAACATGAACTGTAGGTCTTCCAACAGAATAAACTATGCAAATAATGTAAATATAAAGGTATATAATGGTTAAAAATTCTTAAATAAATACATACTGAAAAATAAAAAAATGGTTTAAAACTTTAACTTTAAATAAATAAATCTTATGCTCCAGAGACAGTTTTGGACTAAGCAAAGGAGATGAAATGATTATAGATATTAAGTTAATATCATGTTAACATGTTAGTTTCTTTGAATAAATTAACAAAAATGCCATCTCTATTTTTATGCAATGTAATGTTTACAAACTGTCCAGGAAATGTTCTCATAATGTGTATATTTAATGTTGAAATTGTATTTTATTGGGCATAGCTTTTCCTAGTAAATTTGCCTTCAAGTTAACTGACATGAAAAATTTCTTTTAAGTGAAATAATTGCTTCCTTATGCAAACTGTATGTTACTATTACCCATACACTTGCAGAGTCTGATACATCAGCTTTCCTGTACTATAATACAGCTGCTGGCGCAAGTGTGAAATAGCTCATACTGTATTTATTTCATTTTGTTTTTCAATTCTGCACAACATTACTCTGTAATATACATCTTTAATTCTGAAGTGACAGACTAGACAATACCACCCACTGCCAATCATGTTCCCTCTCATTTTTCAATCCATGTGCGGTATGAATTTTTCTTCTTTTTTTTTT